CTAGAAAGCAAAACCGAATCCTAACCTCAGAGGCTTGGTCGAAAAACTCGAGTGTAGTCAGGTTTTATTGCATTCATAAGAAGATTCATGAATAGCGATAGCCATGAAGACATTCGTCAATATGCATCTTGCAATGCCACCAACCGACAACATTTCACTGTGTTTTCCTCAACACACTATCGAGCGTTCGCTTGTAGCAGAAATCTTACTGGTGAAATTTGGGAACCCATTAAAACTTTCCAAATGGTGACAGCTATCCAATTCTCTAGAAAAGAAAGAACAAAAACTGATGAGCAGCTTTTTTCAAAAGATTGTAACATGATAATCAGTTACCTTTTGTAACTGAGACAAGTACTGAGTAGATTAGCTAAGCCAACATTGTTGGCAAAGCACGTCCAGTTAAACGAAGAATCAGACAATTCAGTTCTCACAGAAAAAACACTTCATATAGTTAAGAGCTGTTGCATGTCTAGTCGTAAATTGATGCTAATCGAAATTATAAATACAGTCACAAAAAGAATCATCACGATAAAAGAATCAGATTGCAAAAAAGCAACATCCATGACATGTTTTTGAGGATGGGAAAGATTTGGAAATCGTCCAGTGATCATATAGGAAAGAGATCATAAGAAATTGGATCAGAGTAAGAGAATAATGTAATATTACCTTTTGCTAGCGCTCAGCAAGCCACTTTATGAAAAGATGTTCAACATATTGGTTCCTTTGGCTAACTTTTCGGATAAAAAAATTTTTGGTAATGAGAAGTTATAGAAAACATGAACAAAAAATTTTCTTATTGTGCTTTGCTTATATCTGAATAGGACGTAATCACCCATAAAATTCTTCTAAAACAAAATCGTAGAAATGTACTGAGGTTCATATAGTGAGATATTCGTATCTATTCAACTTGTTCCTACATGAGATTACAAAATATGAAGAAGAACTGCTGTTAATATTAAAGAAAAAGACTTTTTTTTAGGTTTTCGCATTTTAATTATCTAGTAATTGCACTAAAAACTTGATTCGCTTGTATCATATGCATCTCTTATTATACGATCAAAAGTTTGACGTTGAATAAGAATTTAAATTTCTGTTAGTCCAATTGATGAAACACATATACGAGAAAAGGCAACTCAATTGAGATCTGCCAACGCCTTTCATATCATCGAAATACCATTTTAAAACGTTTTACACAATTCTTGTAGTCAAGTTTTCTAAACATGAAAACGAAGATTACAGGAGCAAACAAAAACTGACTAATTCTGTGTACTTTTATTTAAATGACTAAACCTATGTTATTTTTTCTCTAAAAAAGGTTTTTGGCATGAACAATCGCGACCGGATCGCGATTCATATGTGCGAATCTATTGGGACAATATACAAACGGGTAATAAATCATCTTTTCCTATGAAAATTTTTCTTCCTTCATCAAAATAATAAATTTATTCTCTCTTTCTCACTCTTAGGCATGGAAAACAATTTTCAGTTGCTGGATAATATACAAGTTGACACTCAAAATACATCGTATGATTATGACTCTGTAATGCATTATGAACGTACGGCATTTTCTAAAAATGGCTCAGCAACAATAGAAGCACTTCAAGCAAATGTTAAGATCGGACAGCGTCTTTATTTAAGTGCAACTGATATTCAAGAAGTTCAACGTTACTATAATTGTACAGCGAGTGGAACCACATTGCCATCAACTACGACAACTATTACACCTACAACAAGTAAATGAGTTATAGTGCTTGAAATTGACCAAACGTTCTGTCGACAGTTTTTAAAAGAATATGTCGGTTAAAGGAAAGTAGTCAGAATTGAAAAACATCAGCCATTCCATTTTATAGAACTTTTTCACACGTCTGGAATGCTATATGATAAATCGAGTTTTCATATGATTTTGAAGAAACTAGAGTCAGTATTCTGATAGACGATTACACAGCTATATCTACAAGATAGTCGCAGATGCTACCTATATGAGGTTGTAGCCCATCAAAACTCAATGAAACTCCTTATGAGAAAAAATATTTCACGAATACTGTTGATTGATACTAAGCATCAAAATATTCAAACTCATAATTCTTTCATGTGAGTACGTAGTTATCTATCAGTTACGTGACTCTAGTTTCTTCAATGTACTATGAAAATAGAATCTAATATACACGAGTCGATCCAACTAAAAGAGCTCTAAAACATAAATAGAGTTGGTTTTATCTTACAAGATCTTTAAACACTAGCTAAAACTTGTGGTCACTCTTGAACAGACTTATAATTTGTAGAAAATTATTTCCAGTGGGAGTAGATTATTCTTCTGAAAATTATTTTCAAATAAAATAAAATCTTTGATATGAACGTAGATGACTACCGTTCTTGACTCATTATTATTTCATAGTATGAGACAAATGCAAGGAAGAAAAAACAGATAGTAGATTCTTGCATTCTTACGGACTATGATAGAATTTATATAGGCAGACACCAGTACAAGTTAAGTGATTACTCAGTTGAACTGTTTTCATAGTTAACTATTAGTAAGTCTTTAATTGGAAACTCTTATTCAATTATCCAAGTCTATCTTGACTGATCATGCAATTAACTGGTAGTGTCATAAACCTGATCCTAGAATGTCTTCGTAGAACTGTCACTCTTTAACCAAGAAAGAAAACTAATATTGTTGTGGATTCTAATGAATGTTAATGAGTATTGAATTCATGAGAATCCACCGAAATCCATCAAGAGTATTTATTTTGAATTTATTTTCCGTTTTTGATTGAAAATTAAGATCTAACTCCCCATTTTATTTAATGTTTTTTTTGCATCCTGTAGCTTTTAATGAATACTAATGAATCCTGATAAGTTCTGAGATACGGAGTTCTGCTTTTTCCCTTGCATAGATGTGAGTAAACGGGCAATTTTCGTCCTACAATAGGTTTTAATAGAAAACTCTCGGTTAAAATTAATGTCACAAATTTGAACAATGGTAAATTCTCTTGTGTATCACACGATTATTAATTAATAGTGTAGCACATAGAAAGAAAATTGGATTCTTTCCTTCAAGAGAAAAATGTCCTAAATACAGTAGTCGCCTTTCGAAACATTTTATAAAACTCACACGATTTAGAGCCTGTAGAAGGATGAAGATATGGCCATTTGAAATTATTTGGAGACTAAGTATTGTCAGAGTTTTTGATTTGGCAATAATTCAGTTGGCCATATTATCTATGATAAACTTACTGAAACTAAGGATGTTTGAAAAAAACATTCGAACACCAATGAGAAATTATACCAAATGCTGTTTCAATATTAAGAATTTTTAACACTAGAGTATATTGTCCTCACTATCCAAGCACCTTGGTACTTTTCGACACCATGCTGTATAATTTTGTGACAGAGTACTATATTTATTTTCTTGTAAAAATAATCATACGGCAGAATAGTGAAAAAACCAGAAATAGATTTCTGTACTTTTTGTCCTCTCGTTCTAATGACACTGATTCATATGCAAACGTTCTGCCCATTTCGTATTCTTATTCTGACTTAAATTTCAATTTGTATTATTTTTACGTCACAAAAGTGACTGAAAAAACTCGTATTTGCTGTAAATGATTCTTGAATATAAGAAAAATCTCTATAATGATGAACGGAGAAAAATATATCCTAGAAATCGTCTTTACTAGTCTACCAAAGTTGAAGATTTTCATAGTTTATGTTTGTAATTGAACAGCAAATCCAAATGTGATTACGTCGATTTATTCGAGTGCATTAACAATCAATAGTCCAACTTATTCTCGTTTGAATGGTTTAGCCGGAAATTATTATTATGAGGTTATGCAAATAAACGTCTCCACTCCTGGGAGATATGATATTGTCAGCAAAAGTCTTATTGACACATATGGCTATGTATACCAAGGCAGTTTCAATCCAAATAATCCATCTGAAAACTTCTGGATACAACATGACGACTCCAATGGATTTCTACAGTTTTACTTTATTCTTAGTTTTGGATCTAGCTATAGTTTTAATCTAGTACTTACGACGTACAGACCAGAGGTAACAGGAGACTTCTCAGTTGTAGTCACTGGTCCTGCTAGAGTTACCTTTGCTCGCATGAACAGTTATCGAACGCCGATGACAACATTAACAATTACCACGTCCACAACACCGTCAACAACTACCAAATCCACAACAACATCAACAACCACTAGGACTACAACACAAACAAGTACCACGTCTGCAACACCGTCAACAACTACCAAATCCACAACAACATCAACAACTACCAGGACTACAACACAAACAAGTACCACGTCTACAACACCGTCAACAACTACCAAATCCACAACAACATCAACAACTACCAGGACTACAACACAAACAAGTACCACGTCTGCAACACCGTCAACAACTACCAAATCCACAACAACATCAACAACTACCAGGACTACAACACAAACAACTACCACGTCTACAACACCGTCAACAACTACCAAATCCACAACAACATCAACAACCACTAGGACTACAACACAAACAACTACCACGTCTACAATACCGTCAACAACTACCAAATCCACAGCAACAACAACAACGAGCGGTCAGTAGACAACTTCTTAATATTACTCTATGGAAAAATATTGACTTTTATATCAGTTCCTCCATGCAACTTTGAGTTTAATATTGCCTTAGTACCTAGACTTCGCAATGCTACAAGTATGATTTCTCTGATCAGACGCATAGAGCTGAGCTTTTTGAAAGAAGAACGAAGTTTCAAGAACAGAGTTCATTATGATCAAAAAGTTTTTTTGTTCAAAATTCTATTTTTCATATCCGTTTTAGATGAAAGTTTTTTCGAAGCAAGAATGAAATGAAGATGAATACCTAGCGTCTCATTGAATAGTTATATTTGCTTCTATTATTCTAACACTCACATCTGTTTTTAATGTTCACTCAAACCAAAATCAGTTTTTATAGTTAGTGAAAAGGGAAATTTCTAACCTTATATAGAATTAGAACTCTTATGTTACGGTTACTACAGTCGAAGCTATTTTTCTTGCGTGACCTTCTGAATTGCTGGCCTGAACCAGATACTATGGAAAGATCTAGTGAAATCTCATTTATTTGTTCAGAAACCCGTCCATACAGTCTGACAGGTTTCAAGAGATATTTATCATTAGCTGTGTTTTTTTCTGTCACACTTGCAAGTTTGCGCGGAGAGAATTTCGATTTTCTTCCAAATAAAACTAACACTAGTTGCTGACATAGAGACATTAAAGCATAATCAATTATTTAAAAAAACCAGGAACTTTATATACAAAATTGAAAATGATCGCGAACATCACATTAAGAAACTTCTGTTTCCTGTTTTTCTCATGAGGAGCGGTACCATGATTCATCTAGCCTGTTTTTTATATACCAGTGACATATATCTGATACTAATTCATTTGATGTTGGGTCAAACCAATACAGAAGATATGTGATACTTTCGAAAGCTAAACATATCTGAATATGTCCATAAAATACATGGTTTGTACAACGCCACTGGCTTAAGTAAAAAAACAACCATCGACAGATATGCAGAAAAACAGCACTTTCAAGGACAGCATTACAAAATTTGTTCGTAGTTTGATGTTTGGACACGAATAGGTTTCAGAAGAGTCATGAAATATCCTTGTTTACTTTATACCTAAGACGTGGTAATCTGACATACCGAAAGCAAATTTTCCTCTCAAATAAAGTGGCATTTGCTGTATGTCAGAAGAAAACTGGAAGCATTCTCTACAGATAAAACATTTGGAGTACATCCTATTGATAACGACAATGAACTTTCTTCTAACTCTCTCAACAAACTCAGTAAATGTAAAAACATGCATTAAACACACATCCTTTTGTGGTCTCATCCAACGATTTTCAAATCCATTCTTCCCATGGAGTAAAGTGTTATTAAAAGTGATTCTTTTCAATGAGCATTGCTCCTTTATTATATGAGACTGTGATAGGTCGCAGTAAAAGGTACAACATTTTATTGTACACGAGTTAAATAAACTGTTTTGACTATGTCAACTTAAGGTAGACAAAACAGCCACATTCATTGAATAATTAATCGAATAAGATGACAAAACAGTTTTGTACAAGATAAATATAGAGTGAGATAGAAAAGTTTGGTTTCCATTACAATTGGAATTGTTCTAAAACACGTTCATTTGATAGTTTTCTCTTCTCATCCTCTTTTGTCTTAAATTTTAACCATAGAAAACAAAAATGAAAGAAAAATCTGAATGTAAGGTAAAATATCATTCTAGCTACAACAAGCAATGTAACTGATTTTCCCTTGTGGAATCCATATGGAGTAACAGTTGCCGGTGGCAATGGAGCGGGATCAGCTGCCAATCAATTAAATTTTCCACGTAGCGTTGCAGTGACTTCATCAGGTGATGTCTATATTGCAGATACTTCAAACAATCGAATTCAGCTATGGAAATTGGGTGCAACACAGGGTGAGTAAAACTCCACTATGCTTCTCTGTTTTTCCGATGACCACCAATCACTAATACTTTCTGAGATATGCAAATATTATATTATATGTTTTCATAATTTATGCAGTTCAGTACCTTTATGGAGTACATTATAGGTATAACCGTATGGCCACCCAATGGTAGTACACTGTACCAGGCGGCTTCAGTCTTCGGTTTATATCTCGATTCACTTGAAAAACATCTCTACATGATGGATGTGTTTTAATATCGAGTTTTGAAATGGATGATTGGTACAAATACAACAACTATTGTTGCCGGTGGAAACGGCAATGGAACTGCACTCAATCAGCTGTCTCTAGCATGGGGTGGTTTGACTCTAGATAGTCTATCAAATGTTTACATACCAGATAGTGGAAATGCTAGAGTGATGAAATGGGCACCAGGCTCTTTGAGTGGACAAGTTGTAGCAGGTGGTAATGGAATTGGTAATGGATCTAATCAATTATCAAGTAGCATAGGAAGCATAGCAGTAGACTCCAAGTTTACTGTTTTTGTAGCTGATACAGGCAATTATCGAATTCAGGTTTGTTCTAATAACTTCTCAATCGTTGTTTTTCAATTCGAATATTGTTGAACTTAAAGCAGTTTGAATACACTCTTCGTGATGCTAGAGAAGTGTCACCTAAATCTTTACAACATAGTGAAAATAGAAGGTAAGTTTACAAAAAATTCTTTAGATGTGGCCAGTGGGTGCTTCAAGTGGTATAACAATTATACCTACAAACACCAATGGGATGTATCCATTAGCATTGGAGTTGGATTCTATGGGAAATATTTATGTCGGAGGTTTCAATATTATGAAATACAATGTTGCAACAAAGACTGCAACAACTATTGTTTTCAGTTATGGAAATTCATCGAATCAAGTGGGTACGGTATATGGCCTTCGATTTGGAGCCAACAATACCAACTTGTTTGCGGTAGATTCAAGTAATCATCGAGTACAAAGATACTCGGTAATAAAGAATTGTGGAGGTAAGTCGTGTATCTCACCATTTACGTCTTCATTTAGTGCTGAAATTCTGAATCCTTCATAGATCATTTGACACACATGTTCTCGTTAGTTGGAATAGTCGGTTTTTGGATCTTTATATGATGTGTTATGTCTTTTTTGTTTTTATGGAAATTAAAGGCGCCGAAAAAATAGTCATGCTTATCGAAAGGAAATTGTTTTGCTACTAAACGAATCTATTCTGTATTGTTCATTTTGAAAATTCTAGTGTTCTCTGCACAGATCGATTCTAAAATAGATGTAGTACTTCGAAGGGTTGAAAACTGATTAGAATGAGTAATATTGAATAAAAGACATTCAGAGAGAATGAGCTATTATAAAGGCATGAAATTATGATGGTCATCATTCAATCTGATCGTCTTTATTTATGATAGGATACCGTGATCATAGTTTCATTGTTCCATTTGATTGACTATCGATGAGTTATGTACTGACCTTTCATCGTTATTTCTCTTTGAATGTTTAATTCTATCGATTGTTTTCTCGTCGTTTTTCTTTTTTGCTTCATTGGATTGAATCATTTTAAAGTTCTAAGATATAATAAACTATTCGCTCTCCTATAATTTTCTCTGAATATTACTTATTCTTTTCTTTTATCTTCTCTTTTTTAATTTTATTTTAGGATAAGAAGATGAAATCAATCTAATGAAGACTATAGAGAATAATATATGTAGCAACAATCAGTGGTAATATTACTTCCTCATAGTTTTTGAAAACTTCATTTTCTTTAGCTTCAACTTACTCTGGATTTGCTTTTTTTTCTTTTTATGGAATTTTCATTATCATTATTCTGGACAAATAAATGAAAGCGATTGAAAATGTTGGTTGTGGCTCTGAGTCTTTTGTCATTCACGCCTGAATATCACCTATGCTTATAGTTTGCACGCACACAGCTCTCTGTTCTACTTTAGTACATTTGTTTTGTTGAAAAAGAGTTTTATTTAAATAGTAGTGTAAAAAATGAAAATTTTTATGCATCAGGTGAATAATTTTTTGAATGTTCAGGAAGTTTTTATTTGTTCGAAAAAAAACATATGACTCATTCTTTTGTGTAGTTACTTGATGTTCTATTTCTTCTAAAACTGTATGCCGCTTTTTCTATTAGACAACATTTCTTATGAACAAGAATATTCTCAAGAAAAACATTTGCAAAAACCTCGTTTGCACGCATCCTTGGCCATTAATAACGCAGAAAGATTGTTCTATAACAACACTTCCTTTTCGATGTGTGTTTTATTATGAAATGGATTTTGTTTTAATGAAAAAGTCTTTTACCGTATGCGTATACATGTTACTTATTTAATCATATTTGTATCACTTGATTGTACGCTTCTCAGTAACTTCTTTGACAATATCATGAAAGGTTTTAAGCCAAGTGCTCTTCAGAATTTGATATTTAAACCTTCTGCAAGATCGTATTAAAGTACTTGAATGTAACAACTATATCTTTAGTTTATCTCTACTAATTTCGATATATTATCCTTAAAAATCGTTATAATTCTTGGCAAAGAAGCTATTAAGAAATATATAATTATGTGATGTAAAGTTGATAAAGTAAGTAATACGGATTCAGACGCATGAAAAGCATGACATTGCAGGCGATGAGATGGACATAAAAACAGATGAATCTCAATATCAATAATGAAAATGTTCATTTTCATTGAAGAAATTGCAATACACTAATTAGTGCGGTGATGAAAATTAAAGATGACTTTGATGGATTTTTATTATTTTTCCCGGAGTCACCACCATCATTCGATGACTCCACGACTAGAAACTTGGACAGACCGTAGTCTCGTGTTCAGGTTGATTGCATACAGTGCATAAAATAGATGGGAACGAGTCATCATCTACATTGGTATTATTTGATGAATGTGTTGGAAAAACTGTATTTGCTGAACTTGGTTGTTGTTTGCTATTATTATATGAAGAATTATTGTGGTATGGTTGTGTATATTTTTGATTATTATTATAAGTATTAGTAGTAAATGATGATTTATATCTATTTGGTTGAAAACGTTGATTAGAATTATTTGTTCGTGTTTGAGAATATTGAGGTGAATGAAAAGAATTTGGTGTAAATGAAGATGATACCGGATTATATCGAGCCGTTCGATTAGTATATGTATTATATTTATTATAAGGATTTCGAGAATAACCTGATGAAAAATTAGGTGAAGAATTATTTGCTGAATTAGAATTAACTGATAATGAATTATTAGATGCCGAAGAAAATTGTTGATTTTTAAATGTATTTGAAGTGTTGTTAGTATTATTATCAACGGTGATATTAGATAGTTGAAAAAGTTCTTCAGCTTCTTTTGCATATTCAAGAAATTCGGAAGTTGATGTAGGTTTTTTCTTACGAACTTCAAGCTGTAGACTTGGTTTAATTTTATTCAAAAGATTTTTTAATTTTGTTGATTCACTCATACTACAATCAACTTCATTACAAAGTATCAATACTTCATTGAAATAATTACGAACAGAGTGATTCTCCCCTTGTGAATACGATTCTAGTGTTTTAAAGGCCAATTCGTCTCGAAATGAAGATGTAAAAGCCTTTTTTATTTCATATACAAAATGATTCCAAGAATTAAATGTGGATTTATTACTTTTATACCACTGAAGAGCACCACCCCTCAATGAATAAGAAATTATATCCAATCGAGTTGAATCGGGAATATGGGCAACCTCCAATAGATGTTCAATTTCCTCGATCCATTCCTTTACATCATCTTTACTACCTTTAAATGTTTTCGGATATTTAATTAAATCTCCTACAATCGCTCTAAGAAGATCATTAATTGTATGATCTAATAAAATTTGAAGATAAATTAGAAATATTGGTGGCTGACTTTTCATTTGGTATCTCACCAAGAATATTGGTGGCACCTAAATCAACCTTAGTTATAGAATTAAATGTAGATGTTTGACTTGTAGGATATATATTATCGGAACTATTTTGAACAAATCCTCTACAAATATTATTAGTTGTATTTGAAGATGATGAATATTTTTTAGAAGAGGTGTTATTATCTGATTGACATGAATGAGTTTGAGTTGTTGAAGTATCAATTACCTCAAAATGTAATACTAGAAATTCGTAGAAATCATCAAAGGTTTGAATAGATTTACGATTTTTAATATATGCACGCTTTGCATCACCTTCAACTAAGAGCGAGATAACTGCAAAACGCAAATTACATGAAATTCTCCATTGATTAAACTTATTTTCCATTTCATCCAACCATTTAACTACATTTTGTTTTCCTGAGAACGGAACAAAATTTTGCAAGATAAAATTATCAAAATTATCTTTATCGTCATTTTCTTCCCATTGAAAATGATTATCTCCTTCATTTACAACATTTATATGTGAAACACGATGAGCTGTATTATGAACAATGTCAAATGATTCACCATGTGTTTTATCTATAATTTCACGATTATTAGTTAAAGACCTTTTATTATGATCAATTTTATCAACCATTTTATATAAATCAAACCGAGAATTATTACGACCATCTTTAATAATGTCAACAGCGTTTAATTGTTCATTAATTAAAAGTGTACTGGTTTCGGTTTGTGAATTAACGATTTTACCAGGTTCTTTAATTCCTTTTGATCTATATAGTGTAGGTATTATTGATTGACGACGATCAGTTTTTGCATAAGTAGGTATTATAAGTTCTGGATTCTTTGTTGATGTTAAGATTGAAGTTTCAAATATTGTTTGTTGATTTAACGAATTTATTGATGAAGATTTTGTAATAGAAAAATTACGATTGTTATTATTCATTTTATCCTTACTTTAATTTTCAATTTTTATCGTTGCGACAATAATAATATGCGAAATTTCTTTTCTTTTCTTCAAGAAGTGTACAATAAAGCAGATACAATTTTTTTTTCTATATATTTATATATATATATATGAACAAAACTAGAAGCAGACAAAAATTTGCCCAACTTCTCCACCAATTGTGAGCCTCTCGGTTGTTGTAGTTTTAATTTAAATATTATGTAGACTTTCTACACGTGAAATAGGGATAGTGCCTGCTTTGAATGAGAGTTCACATAAAATATAAACAGCTTACCCTGTTTTGTTACACATAATATTAGAATGATGAATATATTGAAGACTGCTTTATTTCAGTTAATAAAACATAACATAATAATGAACAACAATAACAGTAATAATAATAATAATAAATGGAAAAAAACAAAAAGAAGTAAAAGATAATGATCAAGAAAAATAAAAAAAAATCAACCCCTGGAACTGAATCGATCACGAGTTGGTTATAGCCAACAAAATACGTAATGGATGAAAGAGGTTAAAGAAACAATGACATATAAAGAAAACGTTTAGCGTCAACTCGTGACACCTGTCGACGCTAAGAATATTATTAATTTTATAACTTATTAGTAAGTGGTGTAATAACAAATCTTTCAGGACATTCTACTGCTTAATTATCATATATAAAAGTAACCTCAATTATTTTCACGAGAATAAAATCTACATTGTTTAGGCCAATGAAAATCTAAATCAGATCGTATTCCTGTTGTATAAAGCTCTTGACAAATATCACGTTGATGAAACAGAATAGTAATTAATGTTTCATATTTTCTTAGACCAACTTTACAAGAAAGAATAGATTTAACCTCTATTTTAATCAACAAGTAACGCTCGTCTGTACGATTTGCTTAACCCTCGACTGAATATTAGAGGTCAGTTGTTTGTCGGCACTTCTCTCAAGCCTTGCTCATAGTCACTTGGTATATTATTGGAGAAAATCAAAACAATCATGAATTATTCTGCATTTGCCTTACCGACTATAAGTTCTCTTAGAAGATTCTTTTAGTATTACTTGTCTACAGAGAAAAGTACAATTTTTTCAGACAAAGAACTATTTGTTTTTGAAAAATCTGACTTTAGATTTGGATTCTGCGACTCCAATTTACTTTCGTCAACCTTTATAAAAAAAATTTCTAAAATAGATGTTTGTTTGACCCTGATGTTGTTTTGACTCAGACGCACACACACAAACACACACACAATCTATTTTTTTTCATATGACCCTCCCTACAGTCGAGGGAATATAGATTGTATATTCCAATCAGATTTACATCGAGTTTCGCTATTTCAAAGTAGCCTAAACGGTCACTAGAACTTATGTGAAAAAGGTTAGACTTTTTATCGTCACTAATTCGCCTGGATAGTTGCATATATGAGATTTTATTTCAAGTTAATGGTTAATAAAAAGCTAAATATTGATCGGAAAAGAAGTTTTTGTCTGAACCACTTCGTCTTAAGAATGGTCACACAGACAACATATCCATTTACCTATTTTACGTGCTTCAAAGCACAGGTTACAGATCGCTGTGCTTTTCAAAACTCACATGATGACGGATCATTTCTTAGGATATCACTGTTCATCTATTTTTTTCACTTCGAACCAAGGATAATCGGTCGGTAATACGATCGAAGATCATATGGCAAAAAAACATGCATTAAGAGAGTTCTGTCCGCCTTTTCTATTAGCTTCGAAGCAATTGTTGTGATTCGATCAGCTAATCGATTACCACATGTTAACAAAACAGTCATCATGAGACGCTCCTTCATCTTTTATACTCATTTCACAACAAAGCTAGTGATGCAGTAATCTGACTAAAGACCATATGGCAAACGAACATTCGATACCAGGCATCTGTACATTTTTTGTTCTCACTCTGAAGTGAAGTTAGGAACACGATCAACTAATCGAATGCCACAGGACAAAGAAATAGTTCGTACCAGGCTTCTGTTCACTTCCTTTGCTCATATAAAACCAAAGGTTAGAGCTAGGTCAGCGATTTGAAGATCAACTAGCAAAGAAACATTCTTTAGGATTACTCTATTCACCTATTATATTCACTTCTAGGCAAAAGTTGCAAATCTATCAGCTAATGAAATATTACATGGCAACAGAATATTCATTACCAGACTTCTTTTCACTTATTTTTCTCATGCTCAAATCAAAGATGTCGATTCAATCAGTTGATTGAGAATCACATTGTGAAAGAATATTCTTTATCAATTTTTTATTCGCATCGGTTGTGCGCTTCTTGTTAGAGCTTTCGTCCCGATATGCTGATAGATGTCTGCATGGCAAAGAAATATTTCTTACCAGATGTCTACTCACTCTTTTTACACATTTCAAAACAAAGTTGACCCCTCAATCGAATGATTGGTAATCACGTGGCGACGGAATATTCATTACCAGACTTCTGTTCATCTCTCTCGTTCACTTCGAAACCAAGGGTACGGCTGATTCATTTAACTAACGATTGAAATTCCAAGGAAAGTTCTTGAAAAGACATCTATTCATCTATCATACACACTTGGAAGCAAAGCGCTCGATTTGGTCAACAAATAAAAGATCACATAACAAAGCAACATTCTGTATCACTTTTTTGTTCATCTCTTGTGTTCACCTGGAAGCTAAGAATGCATTAGATCAGCCGATCGAACATGATACGGCAAAGGATTATGATCCATAAAACTTTCATTCGCCTCCTTCGCATATTCCAAAAAACACTTTCGGAATAGGCCACCGAATCGAAGATAATATTGCAAGCGAACATTCTTCAACAGAATTCTGTCCATCCTCCTTGTTCATTTTGGAACGAACATGACAGTGAATTATCTGATCCAATATCATCTGGAAAAGAAATATTGTTGAGAAAGCTTGTGTTCACCATGTGTGCTAACCCCGACACAAAGGTCCCATTCCGTTAGCTGGTCGAATATCACATGAGAAAAGAATGTCACACAAAACATTTCAGTACACTACCTTCACTTACTTCATTGAAAGGGTAGCAACTCGGCTAGCTGATCCAAGAGCACATGACATAGACACATCCCTTAGGATTGTCCTACTCATCTCTGTTGATCAATTCTTAGCACAATTTTCCACTTTATCGGTTGGGCGTAGATCACGGAACAATGGAACATTACTTAGTAGCCTGTTATTCATGTCATTGACTCACATCGACGCGAAGTTTCCAAACCGTTAAGCTGATCGAGAAGCACGCAGCAAAGGAACATTACTTATCACTTGTTGGTTCACCTGTGTTGCTCGCTTCTTCTGAAAAATTGCGACTCAATTAATTCGTAAAAGGTTAGATGCGACAGAAATCTCTTTGAAAAGACTTCTGTTCATGTATTTTGTTCACTTCGAACCAAAAATATGTCGATGTCAACTTGTCGAAAAAGACATGGGAGAGAAACTTTATTTAGCAGACTTCTCTTCAACTTTTTTTCTTACTTGAACGGAAAACACACGACTCAGAGAGGTGATGAAACATCTCGTGAGAATAAAATATTCTTGAGTAGCCTTCATTTCATCTGTTTTATTCACTGTGTAGCAAACGTGACAAGTCAATCAACTTAATGAAGATCACATCGGAAAGGATTCTTCATTACCAGGTTTTCCTTCATGTTTTATGCTCATTTCGTAATAAACCTACCGACTCGATTGGCTGATCAAAGATGTCATGGTAAAGAAACATTCATTATGAAACTCCTGTTCACAGCTTTCGTTCACTTCAAAGCAAAGTTTTCATGCACTTAACTGATTGACGATCACCATACAAAGGAACATTCCTGAAAAGACTTCTGCTCACTTTTTTGCTTACTTCGAAGTAAAAGTTACGATTTGGTCAACTGATTGAACATCACATGGTGAAGGAACGTTCACCAATACTCAGCGTTTCTTTTTCATTGCGCACTTCGAAGCATAGATTTCAACTTGGTCAATTTATCGAATATAACACTGGAAGTGAACATTGTTTAGTAGACTCATGTTTATATATGTTGCTCAATTCGAAACAAAGTGTTCAATCCCATACATTATTAAGGATCACGTGATTTACGGCGATTGCGTAGCATACTTGGGTAAACCTATTTTGTTCAATGTAAAGGAAGGATAATGATACGTTCAGATAATTGAAGATCACGTTGGAAATGAACATTACGTAGGATTCTTCTATCCGTCCCTTTTTCTCTGTTCAGAGCAAAGTTGACGACTCGGTCAGCTGATCGAGGGTCACATAGACAAGGAACATACCTTAGGATACTCCTGTTCACCTTCTTTACTCATTATGAAGAAAAGACAACGATTCAGTGAGCAGATTGCAACTTATGTGGCAAAGGAAGATTGATAATGAGACTTCTGTTTACCTATTTGACTCATTCATAAGTAAAGGCTGTGACTTGATCAATTGATCGAATATCACATAATAAAAGAACATTTTTGAGTAAACTTCTATTCATTGCGTTCGTTCACTTTTAAACAAAGGCTAATACCTGATTGTCTAATCAAAGATTACGTGGAGAAGAAACATTTTTCATCACGTTGTTGTTCAACTCTTTTGCTCAGTTCGAAGCAAAGTTTGGATTTTATCGATTCATCGACGGTTATATGTTAAATGGACACTACTGAAAAGACTTCTGTTCACTTCTTTTATTTCCAATGAAGCATAGGCTGCGAGTCGACCAGCTGATCGAACATCATTGAATAAAGTAATATATGTGATGGCAGGTTGCAAGCATACATTCAAATATTTTTCAATTCTTACGTATTGCTCATGTTGCATCCATACTTCGATAATTAGAAGTTACGCGAACATTCTGCACCAATCATCTATTTGGGAATTGTAAAAACTTCTTAGGATGCTTTCGCATTCGAAGATGGCATGTCTGACCAGCTAGTACATGAATAGTGATGATCATTTTTATTTTCACGTACTTCATTCATGGCA